TTCCTGCCACCACCCCTGTTGGCCTGCCTTCCCGCACCAAGGCTGCTTCTACTCAGGTGAGGACCACCAGTTAGCCTTCAGGTGCAAACAGTGATTTAGGTGCCACTGTGTTTCCTAAAGTATGTCACTCTTTTTGTGTGTTTAAAGAGAAGGTTCCTGAATTTCAGGCTGAAGGGATCAGATCACAGCAGAGAGACTAGGGACAGGAAGGAGCTCTGTGGAAAATGGAGCAGTCTTCTGCTCCCCTGGGTGAAGAGGGGGGGAATAGGTTACCACCCCTTAACCAGAATCTTCAATCCTGAATGCCCAAGAGCATCACCAACAGATTGAAGCCCCTTCCGTGGCCCTAGCTGAAAGGAGATGCTTGCCCCTGATCCTGCCTGTGGCCCAGGCCAGTAGGTTTGGGGCTGGGGGTTGTGCATTACAGACTCTTGACTCTGTCCCTTTCTCTTCTCGTCCAACTCCAGGGTACTCCTCCTGAAGGTGAGCCCTTGCAAACCACTCAGCCTGTGCAATCTACACAGCCTGCGCAGCAGCCCTTGCAATCCACACAGCCTGTCCAGCCCACGCAGCCCTGCCAGCCCTCACAGCTTAGCCAGCCAGGCCAGCCACCAAGCAACAAGATGCCTCAGGTCTCCCAGGAGGCGAAGGGGACCCAGACAGGAGTAGAGCAGCCTCGCCTCCCAACCATACCTGCAAATAGACCAACTGAGCCTCATGTCCAGGTTCAGAGGACCCAGGCAGAAACAAGCCAGATCTCCTATCCTTCCCCTGTCTCTGTCTCCACCAAGCCTGACCTCCCGGGCCCCCTCCCTGCTCAGGCTGCCCCAAAGCAGCCGTTGTTTGTCTCTACAACCTCGGGCCCTAGCACCCCTCCGGGACTGGCTCTGCTGCACACTGAAGCCCAACCCTCCCCCAAACCAGATTGTTCTCCACACTTGACTTCCCAGAGGCCTGTGGATATGGTCCAGCTTCTGAAGGTAAGCCTGGGAGGGGTTCCCTACTACTCCCCTCCAAACTTTGTGCTCTGTTAAATGTCCTAAGATCAGCCCTGGCTGGTGTGGCTCAGTGGATTGAGCTCGGGCCTGCAAACCAAACAGCCAAGGTTCAATTCCCAGTCAGGGCACATGCCTGGATTGCAGGCCAGTTCCCAGCAGGGGATGCATGAGAGGCAACCATACACTGATATTTCTCTCGGTCTTTCCTTCTCCTCTAAAGATAAATAAATCAAATCTTTAAAAAATAATAAAATAAAATGTCCTAAGATCACCAGTTGACTTAGCCCAGTAAGCTACTGCCTGGGGCCATGCCCAGCATGGCTCTGCTCTCTAGTCATGAGTTCACTTCCTGTTCGTCCCCCCACCCTACCCCAACAGAAGTACCCCATCGTGTGGCAGGGCCTCCTGGCCCTCAAGAACGATACAGCTGCTGTGCAGCTCCACTTCGTCTCTGGCAACAACGTCCTGGCCCATCGGTCTCTGCCCCTCTCTGAAGGAGGCCCTCCCCTGAGGATTGCCCAGAGGATGCGGCTGGAGATCTCACAGCTGGAAGGGGTTGCCCGAAGGATGACGGTAAGACAGGGCCCAGGTGAGCAGCTGCCCCACCCCAGGGATGTAAGATGTGGGTGGCCCCCAGCTGCCTGTCTTCCTGGCTTATCATGGGATACAGCAATGGCATTCTTAGAGTGGATGACAGAGGACATGTTGTCTCCTCCAGGGGTATGAAATGCCTCTAGACGTAAAACGAGGCTTTTTTTTTTCATTCAGCAAACAAGAGGGTGGACCTTGGGGGCTTCTCTGGACATACAGGCTAAATCCCCTGGGTTGGCTAGGCTTCTGCGTGTTTTGAGGAAGCATTTGATCACTGATAGCTTCTTCTGTCCTAGGTGGAGACAGATTACTGTCTGCTGCTGGCTCTGCCCTGTGGACGTGACCAAGAGGATGTCGTGAGCCAGACCGAGTCCCTCAAGGCTGCCTTCATCACCTATCTGCAGGCCAAGCAGGCTGCAGGGATCATCAATGTTCCCAACCCTGGCTCCAATCAGGTCAGCCTCGTGCCCAGTGTCCTTTCTCAGTGCACACAGAGGTGGAGCTGGTCAGACAGTCTGACTAGGGTAGTGGCACAGATCTCCAGTGCTAGCTAGAGCAGTTCAAGAGTTTCTCAGAAAAGGTGGGCACAGGGCTTTCTGGGTGGAGGAAACAAGCAGAGTATATGGGTGGGGCCACCACTGCCCATCCTGGAGAGAGTCTGGAGACAGCTGAGACAATAGGTTTTTCTGTAGCTTAATGATACAGAAGAGGTTCACAGGGAGTTCATTTTTGTTTTCTGACACCTAGCTTTCTTTTGGTGGACAAAGTCACGGGGACATCAGCTGGTTAGGAACTGACTCAACCTGGCTGTCTGTGTTGGGCGTTTGGTTGGAAATGTTTAAAGGAGGAACAGCAGTGGGGAGGGGTATGAAGGCCGGGGATTCCCACTCTCATTCCTCTCCCCCTCTCCAGCCCGCCTATGTGCTGCAGATCTTCCCGCCCTGCGAGTTCTCCGAAAGTCACCTATCCCGCCTGGCCCCTGACCTTCTTGCCAGCATCTCCAACATTTCTCCTCACCTCATGATTGTCATTGCCTCTGTGTGAGCCACTGAATGGTCAGTCACCACTCAGTGTATTTTCCCAAGACTCTGCAGCAAAAAAAAAAACCACACAAAAAAAAACACAGGACAACCCAGCCAAGTGGAGGAAGAAGCTGCCGAAGGGGACAGGCTCCACTGCCTGACGGCCAGCCTGGCCCTCCTGCCTGCCCGCCTGAGCCAGGCGGGCAGGCTCCTCTGGGCAGTGGTGCTGCTACTATGTATGTTTACATGACATTTAGCCCAAGGACAGACCACCAACCGATGGACACACAGACACCTTGGGGCTGGGTTTCTCTCTCCTCTTTTTGGAGAAAAGAAACAGGGCAGTGGAACTTTTTTTTTGTTTTTAACAAGAAAACGGAACTGCCTTTGCACTAAATTAGTGACTTGGACTTTCGCATCGTGAAGACAGGCTGTGGCACTCTGGACGTCCTGGAGTGCACTCACACACGTCGGGACTCGAATGCAGGACTCAAACTTCTGTGGAAACCGTGGGGTCAAGGAACATTTCATTGGGTTGTTTTGTCCCTACACCCTCTCTTCCCCTTGCTCATTTGGCTGTCACCTTTCTTAATTCTGCCACCACCGTCTTTGATTCACCCAGGATGTACAGCTTAGTTGACAAAGAGCAAACTGAAGGATTTTCTTTCTTGGTGGGATGTGCAGAACTTGGGATGTATGTATATATAAATATATAATATATATAAATATATATAATACTGACTTAAAAATCAAATTCCCCTGACATACATTTTTTTTTAATCTGTGCCAAAAATGTGTTTTCAGAGAAAATCTTATTTTCATACTCAGACTTTGTATTGTCACTCATTTGTATAAGTGCGCTTCGTTACAGCACGGGCCCTGCTCCCGCCATCTGGAAGTGTCACGTGTACACACACACACACACACACACACACACACAGACTACAAAAAGACTGGCTTCCCACTTCCTATGTGACCTTGACCTCTCCCACAACTTCCTAACACTTTTTAATTTATGAAACTGTTTTTCTCAGCGCAGTTTTGTTTTGTGTGTCCATTGGATTACAAACTTTATTAAAAAATACAAAACATGTCAAGTGTGGATGTGATTGTCACTGGGCAGAGAACCATGTGTTTTTGGCTTATGGGACTAGCGAGCTCTAGTCCCACTTTTGCTTTCTTCCTAAGTAGAGGACCTATTCCCTTTCTGCCACTTAATCCTCCCAAGGATCATTTTTATCTCATACAAAAGAGATCATCACAGACTGAATGTGGACCATTTTTCAATGCCGTGGTGGTGAAAATACCTGCGACACTTCAAGGTTCTGGTTGGTTCTTGGATAACATGGAAGGCACTCCAGGTAAAACCACCCCCCATGCAAACTCAAACATCTTTGGTGTCGGCTCCTTACCCTTCCTCTGGGTGTCGTGCAGGCCAGCCCTGCATTGGTGGTGGCACAGCCTGGCAGGGTGCTGGTCCCGACAGGAGGATGGAGCAGTGGGCCAGGCTTCCCCTGCAGCTGCAAGCACTATAAGCTGAGGAATTGGGCAGGGATGGGAAGGGCCACAGAGTTGGTGATCTCACTGGCAACATCCATGGGGCTCCTCCAAACACCTACACTTTTGATGTAGCTACCACCTCTGAGTAAGAGATTACAGCTGCTGGGAGCGAACTACATGGGAAAGGGGCAGAGACATCTCGTTTCCCTGCTCCTCCTAGTGTAGGCAGTGATGTCCCCCGCCTCCCCATCAAAGCTCCTGGCTGCTCGTTAGGCCTCCAGACCCTCACCTGGTGGGACAGACCCTACTGATTCAAGGGCAAGTATACGTTCCTAAAAGCATAGGCTTGGCCATGATCCTTGGGCCAGGATTACTATAAAGTACACATGGAGCCCTCCCACTTCAAACCCAGCAGAACCGGGCCCATGGCCTATGGGGCCTGGTTCTCTCTGCCTACCTTGCTGCTTTGGCTGAATGGCCCCTGAGCTGGGCTCTGAGTTACCTGGATCCTGGTAAGTAGTGTGGCCAGCCCCTAACCCCCAGGCAGAAAGGGAAGCTGGGTCGCACCTGAGTTCCATGGCAGAGAGGGGAGGTGGGATCCTTAAGGTGAATAGGTGAAAAGCCTCCAAAGAGGTGACTGCATGAGGGGGTCATGAGGCAGATGGAGCCACGCTCTCGCTTGGGAATGCTACCTGAACCCTGATGGGCAAAACAGCCCACTTGCTTCTAGACAGGCCCCAGGGCTCCAGTCCCATTCCACAGAAGAGACAGCCTGGCTTTCCCAAAAAGCAGGTCTCTGCCAGCTGGTCCCTGGGTGGTGCAGCCCTTTGTAGCATCAGCCATAGCTGCCGGCTCCCCACCCCACCCCTACAGGGAGCTGTAGGCAGCATTAGAAAATAATCAAATTTATTCTCTCTAGTGAACGGGGCCACCCATCCTTAAATAAACAGTCAAGAGGAGGGATGCCTGCTCACTCAGCAGGCGGTGGACATTCTGGGGCTGTGGGGGGTGTCTCTGCCAGTGCGGGCTGGCCATCAGCCCCGTCCCGAGGGCGGAAGACCAGTTCCCCAGCCTGCAACACCTGCCCGGCCGGCCACGTGCTGCCTGGCCCATACTGCTGGTAGAAGTCCGCATCTGTCTGGAACATGACCAGTGCCTGTGCTGTGTGGATCCGCACGTGCTGGGCCAGGCTGTTGGCATCCAAGAACTTGTCCCCACAAGAGTCGCAGGCATAGAGGATATGGGTGTTAGGGTCTGTAGGAAGTGGGGGTCACAGTCAGGATGGGAAGGACCCCTGGGCCCACCAGCTTTCACACCCTGGGCGGCCCCTCTCACCTTCTTCCTGCACTTGCTTCACAGCTTTGCTGATCTCGGCTTTAAGAACTTCAGTCTCATCGGCAGTCACAGCTGCCCCCACTGGTACCACTGTGGGCAGAATCAGCAGGGCCTGAGGCCAAAAACACCTGCCCCTTCACTGTTACCCCAGAGGCAAGCTGCCCGTAACCACCCTCTGCTGCCCATGGCCCGCACCTGTGAGCTGAGTGACGGCTGTTGCCGCCAGTGCCTCGGTGGCCAACGTAACCATGTCATCAACAGTGACTACGCTGACCTCACCACCCTCCTCTGGCTCCAGGATTTTGATGCCTGCCTTGCCCTGGTGCACAGTCTTCACATGGGAACGAAGGTTGTCCACCCGGTTGAAGCCACGACCACACTTGTCACACAGGTAAGGCTTCTCTCCTGGGGGGGGAGGCAAGGTTCTCTCCTGCCATTGGGGGAGGGGGGAGGACCTCAGTGGCCTCCAGCTTCCCCAGAAGCCCTGTCTTTTCCAGTAGCAAGTGCTCTGGGGCAGACACCAGAGCTGCACAGAAGCTTCCAGTGGCCCCTGCACCTTCTGGAACTATAAGAAAATGGGGTCCTCATTTGAATTGAACTATCTTCAGAACCACCTGTTGCAAGTGCCAGTACCCAAGGCTGCAATCTGGGGGGTACCACCCTTCCCACCACCCCTAAGAGCAGGGCATGAGACAGTCCAGACAGGCAGGTGGGCACATACTCACCAGTGTGGATGATGATGTGCTTGGACAGGTCGCCCACGTTCACAAAGGCCTTGCTGCACACGCTGCACTTGTGAGGGCGGATGTTGTCATGGTGACGGATGTGATTGGCCAACTGGCTGGACTGGACGAATCTGCAGGGCCGCAGAGAAAGGGGCTCACTCTGAACTGCCCAAGCCCAGGGCCAGGGGAGCTGGGCGGGGCCTCCTGCCTCTCATTCTACATTGGAGGGGATCCCTGGACCTGGGCTCGGACAGCCGTTGGCTCAGAACTGAGCCTTAGTTTGTTTTCTGAACCCCTTCACCATGCAGAGTGTGGGGACCCTGCAGCACCCTGGGCCTGGGTGGGACAGGAGGGGCAGGACCTCTTGCCACAGCGCTCGCAGACGTAGGGCTTCTCCCCAGTGTGCTGGCGCACGTGCGCGATGAGGGAGCTGGCCTGGGTGAAGGCTTTGCCGCACATCACGCACTGGCATGGCTTCTCGCCTGGGGACGGGGCAGGAGATGTTAGCGCCTATTTCTCTTCCTCCCCGCGTGCCCTCCCCAGCCTCCCAGTTCCCACTGCTGGGCTCGCTCACGCACCCGTGTGGATGCGGACGTGCCGCTGCAGGGCACCGGGGTCAGCAAACTGCCGCTGGCAGTGGATGCACACGTAGGGCTTCTCCCCGCTGTGGATCCGAAGGTGCCGCTTCAGGTTCCCTGTGGAAACCGACAGAGGGCCTGGCGTGGGGCACCCGAGGTGGCCGAGGAGCGGAGGGCGTGGGGCAGCTAGGCAGCCTGGCCCTACCTGAGGTGGTGAACTGCTTCCCACACTCTCGGCACTTGAGGGGCCCATCTGCGATGTGTATCTTCAGGTGGGCCTTCAGGTTCCCCACCTGTGCCAGGCAGGGGTCAGAAGGCCCATCCCACACAATGTGGCCTCGGGCCCCCTCAGCAGCCCCTCCGCCAGGGCCCGTGGATGACTCCATCCATCCTTGCTCAACGCCAACGGAAGGTTTCGGGTCCCAGTAGTGAGAAGGAAGCCACCCCCACCCCACTTCCTTCTGGTCTGAATCCCACCCTGACTTCACCTGCCTTCCCACTTTCCTAGGCAGAGCTCCGTCCCGGGGGAGGGTCACATCCTACTCAGCCACCTACTTGTCCCACTAAGCCTCTGTCCTCCAGGGCCATGGCCCGAGGCAGGAGCTCCCTCAGCCCAGGGGCCCCCTCTCCCGTCAGTGTGCAGGGTGTGGACGCTGCAGGGTGGTGCCCCCACACCTGGTTGAACTTCTTGTCACAGTGAGGGCACTTGTGCTCCTTGTTGGTGTCGTGAGTCTCCAGGTGGCGCATCTTGGAAGTGGGGTCAGAGAAGGAACGGCCACAGTAGTCGCACTGGTAGGGCTTCTCGCCGCTGTGTACCAGCTGGTGCCGCTTGAGGTTGCCGGACGTGGTGAAGAGCTTGCCGCAGTCCTCGCAGCGGTAGCGCGCCTCGCCCGAGTGCCGCTTCTTGTGCAGGTTCAGCAGGCTGATGAGCCGGTAGCTCTTGCCACACTCCTCACAGCCGTATGGCTTCAGCGGGCTGGTGGTCAGAAGGGAGAGGAGGGGTCGCTGGGGCCCTACCAGGGCCAGGCTGGCGGGAACGAGGGGCGGGCCGGGGCACCACACCTGTGCGTCTTCTCGTGGGCTTTGCAGGCGGCTGGGTCAGAGAAGGCCTTGCTGCACTCCCGGCAGGAGAAGGGCTTCTCTCCAGTGTGGATGCGGATGTGCCGCTTGAAGTTCCCCGTGTGCGTGAACTCTTTCCCACAGTCCTGCAGGGCATGAGAAGCGGGCGTGAGGGGATGCTGGCTAGGAGGATGGGGCTGGACAGGCTGGGCAGCGCTACCTGTGGCCGCACCTCGCATTTGTGGATGACAGAACCGTAGGCCTTGGACTCAGTGCGGTCGCCGTAGGTGCCCAGGCGCACGCCCCGGGTCTCGACACCCAGCTCCTGGCCTGAGTCTGTGCTGGCCGACTCCTCGCTCTCCTCAGGGGCATCTCCCTTGTCCAGCTGTGGCCCCTCCTCCTTGACCACAGCAGACACAGCGTCCTCCTCCTCTTGCTCTTCTTCTCCTTTCCTGGCCGGCTCCACCTCCATTTCTGCGATAAGGAGAGCAGGCACTGAGGCACCGGGGAGGGCAGAGGGGCCTCCAAGGGGAACGTGACCTCGAGAACGTGACTCTCTCGAGTCAGAGAGATGACAGGAGGACAACTGGCACCCGGCTACGTCAGGCCTGGGGCTGTCCTATTTCCACACACGCCACTCTTTATGTGTGGGCACCTAGCAGAGCCTGGCAGTGTCTGGGCACCACCAATTAATGGCCCCAGCACTGGCCGGGGCAGCAGCAGGGAAGCAGCTGACCAGGGACATTTGCTGCTTGGAGGATGGAGGCAGGGAGGCCTCACTGCATGGGGGTCCTGGGCACAGCAGGGAGGGCACTGTCAGCCACCAAACACTAAGGGGAACCGTGGGCTGCGCGGCCCCCGCAGTGCCCGGCACTAGGCAAAACACCAGCGCTGCGTCACTTCTGTGCTAACAGGAAGCATGGCTAGGGTGCACAACCAAGAAACTGATCAAGGATGAGAAAAGATGTCGGCCCGAAAGCTGAAGTGGGATTAGCTGTAGGCAGAAGGAGAGGGGCCTGGAGGGATGCATGAGAGGGGGGCGGGTGAGAGGGGGGGCCCGTGTGGGCGGCAGTACCTTGCTCCAAGCTCTCTGACAAGACAGCCTCAGCCTCAGCAGCAGCCATGCCACTGGTGGGGTCGGGCTTGGGCTCTACTGGCGGTGGCTCCCGGGGGGCATCTGCCTTCTCCGTCTGCTCTGCACCTGGGGTGGAGGGGTGGGGACGCTGGAGTCTCAGACTCTGTCAAGGGGCCAGCTGGCCCTGCTGGACCAGGCCCCTGGTAGTGTCTGTGGCTCAGGGAGTGGGGGTGGGGGCCAGCACGTATCACTCGGGCCGCTTGTGCCTCTGCTGTCTAGAACAGACACCCCAGCACCACAGTGGGTCCCTTCTGGGTAACCTGAACTCAAGCCCCAGGAGCCACCCGAAGAAGCCCCTCCCTGCACTGGGGCCCAGGGAGATGCAGGAACGGGCGGCCTCCGCATCACAACTCACCACTGGCCGCACTCTCGGCCTGCCCGCCACGCTCCTCTTTGGGCTCCCTGCCTGGGCCCGCAGATGGACTGCTTCCCGAGGGGTCCAGCTCACTCAGCGCGGCGGCCGCAGCCTTCTTATCTTTGGCTCTCCTGTCCTCTCCTGGAGATGGAACAGGGTAGACCTGCCGTTTCCCATCAAGTGCCCACCATTCAGAGGGATGAGGTTGCCCAGAACTCGCTAGCTCTTCCAGATCCTCCCTGGGGGTACATCTAAGTAGTGGCTTCTTGGCTTGTTCATTCAAGAAATTGTTCACAGGACCCAGTCTGTACCAGGCTGCCAGCAGGCCTGGGAATACCACTGCTGTGGCTGCTGCTTCCAGGGGGCTCACGGACTGGCTGGGAAGACCGAGCCCTCCCATGAAATACCAGTGCTGATCAGAGGTCAGTGCTGACCAGGAGAGGGGCGGGGTCTCTGAAAGGGCACCACAGGGAACCAGGCTCAGCTCTTCTGAGATGCTGAGGGGGACCGAGGAACAGCCCAGGGGAGGAAAGCACAGGAGGAGCGGACCATGTGCAAAGGCCTGGCTCAAGGCCTACCACCCGGTTCTTGGCAGTAGAGAATGAGGGGAAGCTGGTGAAAAGAGGGCAAGGGGTAGGCAAAGGGCCCCCCACCAGAGGCCTCTCTCAGGCTTTACTATGGCTAATCCTTACCAGCAACGCAGGCAAGGCCAGAAGAGGAAACTGAGACCCAGAGAGGTGACAGAGTCAGAGGCAGAGCCGCCACCAAAAGCCACCTGCTCGGGAAAACCTGTCGATGCTCTTACCTTCCATGGCCAAGGCCTCCGTATTGTCCCCAGGGCTGGCAGCGGGCTCAGTGAGTGACTTGAGGGCGTGGCAGGCCGTGATGATGTCCTGCATGTGCAGGAAGCTGGCCACGGCCAGCACATCGTCCACGTTCTCAGAGCTCAGGCTCAGCTTGGCCGTGTACATGAACTCCAGCACCTGCCCCAGGCCTGCCGAGGACACAGACAGCCATCACGGACTTGCTTCACGGACTGGCACCAGCAGGCTACCCAGCTGCTCCGCTCGGCAACAGGGTCCAGGGATCGGGGAAAAGCAAGGTGGTGGGCCACCACCTCCCCATCTCCTGTGCTGGCAGAGAGGTGGGCACCTGGGGCACTCACAGCCCAGACAACAGCCTCCAAACAGAGGTACACCCATGGAGGGCAGAGGGCATGGATGCCTACCCTACACAGAAGACGGGCGACACTGGCCCTACGTGGAGGATAGAGAGTGTGACTGTCTGCCCTACTCAGAAGATGGAGGGTGTAAATGTTCACTCTACGTGGGGGACAAAGGGTGGGAAAGCCCACGCTGCCCTGAGAATAGAGGGTTAAATGGAGGGCAGAGGGGGTGAACACCTGCTCTGTACAGAAGACAGAAGGTGTGAATGCCCGCCCTGTGTGAAGGACAGACGGCATGAACACCCACCCTGGACACACTACCCAGCTGCTACCCTTCACCACCAGAGGACACTCCAAGCGGAGTGTGTCAGCACTGGCTTTCATCGGGGCTCTGCCACAAACTCCCTCGCTGACCTCCCGGCCAGTCACCTGACCTCTCTGGGTCTCAGTTTCCGCGCCTATAAAATAGGGGAACATGACCTTGCCCTGACCTTCCTTCCCACAGTGTATCACGCCATTTTGGGTCAAGAGCCCGAATCTATGACCGGTTTCTTTCTCAATCCCAAGGCCTGCCTACTTGGCCCCCATTCTGAGTCCCTACCCCTGCCACCCTCATCTTGGTTAGCACTGGAATGGGGGGTTTGGGACTCAGAGCCCACCTGCTGGGCTCTGTCCCTCCCGCTGAGCTTGTCCTGTGTTCACTTCGGCCTGGAGCTTATGGTGAGCCCTTCCTGCCAGTTCCTCACCTCACTACCCGCTCCCAACCTAAACAGGCCCTGAAATGCGGCAGGAACTCGGTCCCCACACATTCATGGGCCCTGCGTGGGAGGCAGGTGCTGCTCCCGGGAGGGCGGGGACTGTGTCAGGAGGGCCTGGCGGGGCGCGGGGCCAGTCAGAGCTTCTGGCCCTCAACAAGCTTGGCCCTGGACCCAGCGGGGTACCTGCCGCGTTACTGATGTCCAGGTGCACCACATCCTTCTGGTCCACGAAGAGCATCTTGAAGTACTCGCTGCAGGCCGCCAGCACTGCTTTATGGGCCTTAAAATCGACACCGTCCACCACAAAAGTGCAGTCACACAAAAGCCCCAGCTGCCGCTGCTGGTTCAGCTGCTCCAGGACGTGCTGGCTGTGCTGGGGAAAATCCATGGCTGTGGAGAGCCAAAGGCCTTCGTGTTAGCACACAGGAGGGGCGCCGCGCAGCCTCGACACTCAGCCCAAAACTCCCAGGTGAGAAGTGTGAGGAGGTGGGGAGAATTTAAACACGTCCACGAAGGGCGACAACTGGACGCACTCTGCAGGCCGAGCTTGGCCAGCGGCTCCCAGATTCCTGGGTGTACTGGCTAGGAAAGCTCTGAACCCAAAAAGCATCGGCGGGCCAACAAGAAACAGCCCCCTTTGTGACTTGCCGTGTAATGATGTTAAAGAAGTCAAAAGACAAACACAAAACACTGGTTACGGCCAGCATTTCAAAAAACATGATACAGTTGAACATTTTTTACAAAAACAATCTATGACATGATCTTAGAATAAAGGACAGTCCTTTCAACTGGATACACCTGGCTTTAGGAAAACCTTTCTCTTTCTCTTTCTGTCACGGGAGGTGAAATAGGCGCCTAGGAAGGTGGACTTCTCATCACCCGGAGTGTCAGGAACTGGCCCCCTTCCCGCTGCATCCACAGGGCTCTGTGCAAGTTCCCTCGAGCCCAACTCTCTCATTCATTCATTCTTGGGCTCAGGGAACTACATCAGGGTGGGGAGTCCTCTGCCTCCAGAAACCTCCCCAGGCTGTCCCTGGATTAAGAATGAACTCGGACCCTGACTCCAAGAGCTGAGGCCTGGCTGCAGTTTCTCTGTCAAAGGCCTCCCTCAATGCCTGAAAATCCCACAACTGTCTCCAGCAAAAGTGCTCAGAAAATTCCATGGCCCGGTGCCGAGCCACCCGGAACTGCACAAGCCATGACTAAGCAAGTGTCTAAAATCGCTCTCCCCCCCCCCCCCCCCCCCCGCCTCCCAACATCACACCAGTCAGTCTTAAGATCAGGTCCTCCTTTCAAGAAGGAACCAATTTCAAACTAAAAGTCAATACCCGTTCTGGGACCTCATTACAGAGATCCAACAGGGCCAGCCTGTCATGTCCTGGCCCAGAATCTGTGAAGTGGCAGTGACTTCTCTTCCAGGGTTCCTGGACTCTCTTCTCTGAGGCTGCTCTGCTCAGGGCTGCCCCAGGCTATTTCTGGGCAGGCGATGGTAACACTTTGGGGCTCCCAGCCCTCAGGTTGCAGCAGCCTTTCGCTGGCTCTGACTGTTCCCCTGTTACATCAGCCTCTTGGGGGTGAGTCACCGTGCCACAGCCCTGGAGCTGCGGTGACCATGTATGGTTGTCTGGCTGTGATGAGCCACAATGGAAGCCACACCCCAGCCCTCCACACGTGGCTTACCCAGCACAGATCAGCTTTGAAAGATGCGAAGCCAGCCCACCCCATCTGTGATGTCTGGAAACTTTTCAAAAGTAGGGCTCTGTATTTGCTGGGCTGAGGGAAGTCACCCGACAGGTGGGCGGGGCTCCATCAACTAAAGGGGAAACAAGGCAGTGGCAGCAGGCCCTGCGTCTCAGGGGGCCAGCCTCCGAGCTGGGGGCTCAGAGCTCTGCGGCTGGGGACCCGAGGACACCCTTTTCCTTCGGTCCCAGCCGCTCCCACAAGCGCACAGACAGAGGCTCAGCTTCTTGGATCTCTCCCTGGTTTCATAACTGCCTGGGGCTAGTGCTCCTACGTGAGGGAGGGAAGAGCCAGAAGCCAGCCCTGGAGCCAGGAGGTAAGGGCCCAGGTGGCAGAAGGATTGGCCCCTGAGCCAAACCCAGACCACAGCAGCAAGGCGCCCCCCGAAGCAAAGCCGCCACTGACACAGGACGGGCCTCCCCAGGGCTTCAATCCCTGGAGAAAAGCAAGTTCCCGTTTGTGTGTGACCTGAGGGACTGCAAGACAGAATCCTGGCTGCTCTGGTCCTGAGCAGGGAAAAGCTGAAAGAGAGAGGTTTTTGGAGAACGTGGAGAAGAACCAATGCTCAGTCCATGGGCTAAACACCCAGGGAGGCCTGGGATTTGAAGGGAGCATACACCAGGCATGGTGTCGAGGGAACCAAAGGCAGGTGGCAAGGACAGGCCTGGGCCAAATCATCCCCAGGGGCGTCTTCTCTGCTGTGGAAAAAGCCACACGGGCAAGCAGGTGTGTGCGTGGGCAGCCCGAGTCCCAACCACCAGTCACCCTCTATGTCCTCAGCGGCCCCAGGTGAAATTCTTCCCAAGTGCAGAGAGGGAGGAACCAGCAGGCTCACCAGGGCCCAAAGCTCAATCAACTTCAGAACCAGCCCTTGCGAGCCAGGTCGAAACCCTTCCCTCCTGCCAGAGGGCCTGGCTCCCTCACCTTCACCAGGAGCCAAACCAAAAACTGAGCTGGGAGAAGTCTGGGCTCAGAAACAAGCAGGGAGCATTGGCTGAACCCCCCGAGGTACAGTGGTCTCCAGCCCGGGTGAGCCGGAGCCTGCTGAAAGCAGAACCCTTGAGCCAGAAAGCATCTGACTTGTCGGGAAGATGAATGTGAGAACAGACTCCTGGCCCCACAGGGTGAAAGGGACCTGCCGGCCCAAAGGTCAGGTGATTAATTGGCCTTGCAGGAGGCCCAAGGCTGCGACAAGCCTTCTGCTGCCACACACCCCAAAGCTTCCAGGGAAGGGCAGCAAAGCCCAGCTCTCCTGGGGCTGGACACACTGTGGAGATGGGAGGGGGGGACGCTCATTTTCAGAGGCCTCGGAGGAAGGCTGGTAGAGGTCCCTGGGAGAGGGTGGATGGTGGCCCAGCACCTCCAGTCCCCTGCCCGCCCCAACACAGAGGAGAGCAGCTGCGGCCATGAGTAATGTTTGCCACCCAATGCTAACCGCACTCTTCCGATGGGAGATGCCTGCCCACAGCTGGCCACTCCCCAAATGTGGATGTCCTCGGAGAAAATGGGGGGCCGCTGAATCCCTGAGGCAGCCTGCGAAGCTGCTCCAGCAGAGAAATACTCCTGAGAGCATCTGTTCTGACAAAAATCAAAAGAAGAAAAGGGGCAGAGAAAAAAACAGGTAGAGGATAAAGGGAAGGAGGAAGAAGCCAACGGGAAGGAGAGGGCCAAAAAAAGGAAGGGAAAAATGAAAAGAAGGCCGAGCCTATAAATAGTTAAGCAGCACTAACATACATGCTCAGGGGTGCGATCCTGTGATCAGCCCCCCAGGGCGCGTGAGCACAGTGGAGGAGGGGGCACTCGCCAAGCTCTAAATGGTGTCACCCACAGAACTGCTGTCAGTGTTACTGGATTCCGTCACCGCACGTGTGTGCGGCCGGTGGCGCTCACAGAGCCCCCCAGGCAGCCTTCCAGCTCTCGCCCCCGCCGCCGGCGGGACACCCACAGAGCCCCCTCTCTCCCCAGGACAATGCGCTGAACTGGTGAGGGGCCAGCAGACGCGGTCCTTTCCTCTGAGCTGGAACTCGGCAGTGCCTCACCTCCAAAGCTAATGTGGAATGCTCTAGAACGATCGCAGCAAAGGAGACTCCAACTGTCTCCTGTTTGAGATCTACAGCAACAGGAAGGCACTGGGATCTGGCCGGGCTCAGAGGAAGGGGTCCAGGAAAACCATGTGCCACCTGGGCTACACCGTGGGACCTGTGGCACCACAGGCAGGGCGCGCATGCGACGAGGGGTCACAGTCGGAGGACACCTGAAACATCCTAGTGAGGTCAACAGCCAGCTTCTCCCGAGCGAGGTGCTGTCCCCGCCAGCCCTCCACTCAGGCGGAAGTGTAGGGTCCTTCCCTCCTTCCTTCATCTTGTTTGGAGGGCGACAGATGTGGGCCTCACTTAAAGCTACTTCCGTGAGACCCGAAAAGCTCAGAACTACAGAAAAGACAGAACAAGACCACGCAGCCCACTGAACCCCAAGTCCTCGAGTCAGATGCAGGAAATGAAAGCCCCAAACCACACACAAGCCAGGTGTGACCTTCCTACAGACTCTGGACTGCGGCCAGGCACCTTCTTCCCCTGACACCGCCAGCTGCTCAGCTGTTCTCCTTGATTAATGGGACAGACCTGGGTGCCAGAGCTGGGGTGCTCTCCGGGTGACCGACAGCCCGGCTGGACACACGACAGGCTTAGCCGGGGCCTGCCTCACAAGGAATTCATTTGGGAATGAAAACAACGGACCTGAGGCCCCCTGCGGTGGGACTCGAACAGGCCCAGCTAAGCAGTTCGGACCCGGAAGGCATGGGTCCCTGAAGCCGGCTGCCAGCAAGGCTGCCATCCCTGTCAGTGCGGGTGGCACAGGCTCTGGTCTGACGACTCTGACCAACAGGACGAGTGACGGTGCCATTTCCAGGCCTGGCCGTGAGTGGTCTGGAAGACTCTGCTTTGCTCTCTTGGAATCCGCTGCCCTGCTGCGGGACTGTCCGGGCCCCCTGTTGGAGGGAGGGGACACAGGGAAGGGGCCCGGAGGAGACACCAATGTGCAGAGGCTCATGAAGACGAGCTGAGGTGCTCCTGCCAACAGCACCAGGCTCTGCACGGAGACGCTTCTGCGGACCTTGCAGCCCAGCTCCCAGCTGAATGCTGTCACGGGAGTGACCGCAACACCTCACGGAGCAAAAAACCTGCCCAGTTAACCCACAAAATTGGGAGAAATAATAAAGTCCCGATGATTTAAGCCACTAAGTTTTGAGGTGGTTTGCTTATAGCAAGAGAGAACTGATGCAGATGGGAAACTAGAAAGGAATGACTGACGACAACATTCAGGATAACGGTTCTCTCTGGGTGGGAAGGGCGGCCAGGATCAGAACACCGGGCATGTTCTGTTCCTCCACTTGGATATAAGGTACTTTAATGATTTAAACTAAGTGTGGACATTTCATATACTTCTGTAGGGGGACATTTTTGAAAATCTGACTAAGTTTTTAATAAGAAAGAAGTGAGCACAGGTGCCACATTCAATCCATGCAAAGACAGGCCGTTTCCCACCGCGCTCACAGCCACTGTCGCCAGGGCGGTGGGAGGCACAGGCCTCCGATTCCCATGTGAGGAGTGGGGTTTGGAGCGGGGAGGGCTGCCCACCTCATTGGTCCATAAACACACTGCTGACCAAAAAAAAGGGTTCTCCTTGGGTCATAAAACCCACTCTGCTCAAGTCAATAAAACCTGGACCCCAGACGCTCCCCAGAAACAATGGAATGGCATTTATGGAGTCCCTTCAACGGGCCAAGCAACACAGTGCCGGGCGTGGCACAGCCGGATCACCTAAAACCTAAGAACGTGGCTGCTCTGGGCACCACCTTCCGTGCTGCTGCTCCCAAGAAGTGGGGACTCGAGAGGCCGCTCGGGACCGTGGAGGCAGCAGAACTTCTGACGACAGGCCGGGGGGACCTGAATCCGAATTCTGCCACCTACCGTACTGGCGGTGGTCCCAGCAGGCTTCCCCTCTCAGGGAGCACTTGCGATTTTGCTCCTGGGGATATGTCATTAGTTTGGCTCAAATAAATTCTTAGAACAATTTTAAAAATACAATGAAGCCCTGGCTGGTGTAGCTCAGTGGACTGAGCACAGGCCTGTGAAGCAAAGGGTTGCCAGTTCGGTTCCCAGTCAGGGCACATGCCTGGGTTGCAGGCCAGGTCCCCAGTAGGGGGCACCTGAAAGGCAACCACACACTGATGTTTCTCTCCCACTCTCTCTTCTCCCTTCCCCTCTCTCTCAAAATAAATACATAAAATGTAAAAAAAAAAAAAAAAAAAAAAAGAAAAAAATACAACGAAAAAACCTTCTCCCCTGGCAAAATGGGGCCAATGGGACCACCTCCCACATCTGTATCCGGATTATATTAAATAACACAAGCGAAGGGCCCATACCCCGCCTGGCGCGTGGTGGGCACTCAACAAACCTATTTCCAGGAAGCAAAGATACAGATTACAGTGGGGCTTTTTTTGTCTTTAGGCCCAAGACCGTATCAAACCGTCTTTCTTTCTTTTCTTTTCTTTTCTTTCTTTCTTTCTTTCTCTCTCTCTCTCTCTTTTTTTTTTTTTCCCCAATCCCCTGACTGGGAATCGAACCGCAACCCTTCGGTTCACAGCCCGTGCTCAATCCACTGAGCTACACCAGCCAGGACTCTTTCTTTCTTTTTTAAAGATTTTTATTTATTTATTTTTAGAGACGGGGGAGGAAGGGAGGGAGAGAAACATCAATGTGTGGTTGCCTGTCGCATGTCCCCAACTGGAGACCTGGCCCACAACCCAGGCATGTGCCCTGACTGGGAACTGAACCAGCAACCTCTCAGTTCGCAGGCCGGCTCTCATCCACTGAGCCACACCAGCCAGGGCCAGGCAGTTCTACTTACCCTTTTATGCTAGACACCTCGGGTGCACTCAGTAACTATTTGATGACTTGACCTTGTTAAGAAGTTGTAATCATAACCCATTATTCCTTCTAAATGCAATCCAGAAAAATCCCAGAGCCCAATTAACGTTCTGAGAGGGAGAGAGTGAAGGGAGGGGCACCGGGCAAGAACCACTCCGAGCGATTCTCTGTGGGAGAAGCACTTTACATCGAACAACTGTTCTGTTAAATCCCAGGGGTGCTCCCGGGTGAGGGCTGGAGCGCCTGCCCAGAGCTCTAAGTGGGTCCACAGAGCCCAGCTCTGTCTCAGAGTCAAACGGGCACTTGTCTAACACGAAATATTTACTACCCGGGTTACTAGCAAGCACTGGACTGCAGGCAGTT